CTTGCACAAATTACTAGTTTCATTGTTCCATTATGAAAATACTTAAATAGAGATGAAGGATATGGTGAAAACAGAGAAGTCAAAATCCTTACCCATACTAAAGTAGTTCCAGAATCCTCCACGAAAGGTGCAGTATCCTTCCTGCAAAAACAACAAAAATCATATACTGGATCCTCATCACTCATATGAAACGAGCATGCATCAATAGAACAGACAACCAAAAACAGGAAGTTTTATTAAACCATGCTAACACCAAGGAACTTAGAACTTCTTACGTAGTAGCTCCGGTTTCAGATGTAAATTACTAAAGATTAACGGCCTGTTCATTGGCAGCTTAATAAGCTTAATGGGATTTTCAGCTTATTCGATCAGCTATACATGACTGTTTGTTAGTGGCTTAATGATATTGAAAGTGGCTTATTCATTAAGCTTCTGGGGGGGAGCTTTATGCAGAAAGCCAAGTTTTTCCAAACCTGTCCCACCCAATTGAAAAACATGCTCATTCCATCTATGAGAAAACCCTCCCAAACAAAAAACTTTTCCAATCTACACAGACAGATTAATGCATGCATCTTTATGACTTTATCCATACAGGACTTATGAAAAACCAACCAAACAGCCCCTAAGTCTGAGAGAGAGAGAACTGGTATCAAATTATTCAGACACCACTGCTAGACTACAGCCTACATGTTATACAAGGACATGAACATTCTTACCATCTAAGAAAGCTAAAAATGGGAAGGGGTTTTTTAAATGACGAGGGTGAATGATTTTTTCAGAAAGAACTGATGGGAAAAGAAGAAAGAGAAGTCGGTACCTCATCCAACGCGTCTGATTGGGAGACAGGGTGGACTGCATGCAAGGAGTGTGGTAGTTTCAGAGGTTCAACGGGATCACCTGAACCTTCTTTGGGAACTTTCATTCGCAAGAGAACATGCCAGCTGAAGCATAACAAATGTAAAATTTAGAAGCTTCTTATTTCTAAAATATGTACATGCAAATTTACCTAGATTTTACATAAAGTTGTAGCATTCAGCATTTCTGTTTGAATCAACTGCACTTCAAATCAATTATATGTTGTTACTAAGGATATTTAGGATCTGCTTGTTAGCCGCTTAATTACCTTAACGGGACTCGCAGCTTATTCGGTCAGCTATACAAGATTGTTTGGTAGTGACTTAATGATATAGAAGTAACTTATTTAGTAAGCTTTCAGGGGGGACCTTTATGCAAAGAGCCAAGTTTTTTTTTCCAAATCTGCCACTCCCAATTAAAAAACATGCTCCTTCCATCTATGAAAAAACCCTTCCAAACAAAAATCTTCCGAATCTATGCAGACAGATTAATCCACACAGCCAGATTTATCAATACATGACTTAACTAGAAAACCAACCAAAACAGCCCCTTATTCAATATACTGAATATAAAGGCAGAAGATGTTGATCACATATCATGACAGAGAAGATGGTTCATGGAGACAAAAGATGGATACATATTCACATACGTAAGAATCTAACGAGAAGGAAATCGCCTTTTCTTTTGTGGAAACAAATGAAACTTATTTGAAACATAAACACTTTTATCTTCTGCTTCTATTGGTCATTATGGTTCCAAAATAAACAGCACATAAATCATTTATCATGCCAACCTACCCATCTCCGCAGAAAAAATAGGGTCCAAATATAAAGTAGATTTTTTTACTTTTCTTTCTTATGCAAAATGGAAATAATAATAATATACCTGTCAACTTTCATCTCTTGCGCATTTCTTACTTGATCCAAGAATATCTTCACAGATTCATGGTCGGTGCCAGGGTTTTTCTTACCCTACAACATAAAGAATGTAATGCTTTTCATACATACCAGTATTCTACTCAATGTTAATAATATACACCGTATGGGAGAGGTAAACTCCCAAAAAATTAAAAACTGAGGAACTCGTAACCATTCATTTAGACGTTATGCACATGTGCATACAAGTAACTGAAGCTGTTTTTAGGATTTATGCACGTGTGCATGTTATGCACATGTGCATACTGAACAAATTGCTTATAAATTACTTGTATGCACATGTGCATACTGTCAGGATGAACGGTTACCAATGGTCACCAGGGTGTTCCTTGGTTTTCCCCTGAAACTGATACTACAGCGTATTCTCCTAGAAAATGTCCAGCACCACAAAACAACAACCATCTTACCCAACCAAATGCAAAGGGGAGATTATTTCCTGTTCCTAGCGGCACTGTGGCTACTGGAGGAGGCTGAGCTAAACTGAGATCGGAAATCACTCCAAGAATCCAACCAGCAGTTCCATCCCCACCTGCAACCTGATACCCGCAACATGATTCATAAATTATACAGACAATAAAACATTAGAAGATAGCAATATAACATTAAACATTAGAAGATAGCAATAACTTACAATAATTCTCAATTTCTTCTGGATTTCGGAGGCCAAGGAATCCCCACCATGCTTATGCTTCTCTAGATTGAAAAATAGTTGGTGTAGCACCTTATCAGGAGCCTCTTCGTTCAAATCAAATACCTAAAATACCCACCAACCAACGTCAACTCAATTCAGACTACGTGCATACCTCCCTATATTTTGTCGAGTTTAGCAAAAATAGAGAACCTGATTTTTGTTTAGAAGTGTTTGGTAGCTGAGTAAAAGTTCTCCACCCAGCTGGCCACCGCTTCTTGAATTGATGAATACGATCACAGGACAAGCAGGAACATGTGATGGTTTCTTGACTTCCGAATCACGTAACAGTATGTAATCGGGTATCCAAAAATCCTCTAAACTGTCAGCTTCAAAACTAGAAGTTACAGTCCCTTGACTGCAAGAACATTTCATTTGTGTCAAATCCTCTTCAGAGGTTCGATTTAACAAATTATTTGAAGAAACTAGTGGAAGATGGAATAATCAAACTAGAAGATTCCAATTAATCCAAGTAGTTTAACGTATAGGAATTGCTTAGTACCATGTGGTGATCCTTTAGAACAAGGAAAGAATAGTAGCCGAACCTTGAAGATATACGAGAAAATATATATATATATATACACACACATATGTGTGTGTATACAGGGTAGCCATTCATACACAGACGTGCATAGAAACCATGAAACATCTTTAATTACTTGTATACACATGTGCATCCTATATAGATGAAACAATTATTAAGGTGCTCCTCAATTTTCATTTTCTGGGTTTTCCCTGGACCCCTCCCTCTCTCTCTCTCTCTCTATATATATATATATACACACACACACATGCTTTCTTTATCAAAACTATTTGTATGCAAGAATAAGTCAACTTTTCAGAAAAAAACCATGACTAATGATTTCAAATACCAACATATGATCCACCCTTCATACGAATGAAAATGTTCTCAAAGTAAAGCAACATCATCAACCAAACAGATAACACATAAAGATCTTCCAATCGGTAACCAAATCCCTAATCCAACTTGAAAATCACGAGATCAAACTCGCATTTAAAACAACAAAAAACCCTAGAAACTCGTAATTCCATTTATAAGCTGCATCACCTTTTAGATTGATCCTTCAAATCCTTAGCCATTAATCGCAAAACTGCACCAAGAAAACGAAAGTATTCCATCACATTAACAAATGCGTTACGTTTTACACATCAATCAATATATATATATATATATATATATATATATATAACGAAACGAATGAATCATTAAATCACCCAAAAGGTATAGAGGCTAGAAAGGGAAAAAGGGAAGAAATTAATACCTGCATTCAAGTAGAAAAAGGAAAGAAAAAAGGGAAAACCAACTGCTCACTCAACCAATTCGGGATTTGTATCAAGGAATCTTGAAACTTCAAATTCTTGGTTGTTGATTCAAAACGAAACGTCTATAAATGATGGGCAAAAAGAATGTGAAAGAGGAAGATGATCAGAAAACATGGATGGATTTATAGTGGGAGGTTGATGAGAGAGAATGAGGCCAATTTTTTCGTAAATTTCAACCGAAAATCGAAGAACGTCAATTGGTTTGTGCCGCGTGAATTTGGGGGCGGGATCTTAAACACTGTTTATATCGTTTTCTTGTTTCCTGTGTCGTTCCGACAAATGTTTGAATATTTACTGGATTTCAGAATAATCGTCAAAAAAAAATATTTTTATTTATTTTATATTATTTCAAAATAAATATAATTATCAGTACCTCTACCAGTTATGTTATAATTTTTTTAAAATACAAAAAACAATTAATTCTTAATTTAGCTAACCTTATTTTTAAAACTTTCATTTAGATACCTAAAATTTAAAGTTTTAAACATTTAAGTACTTAGATAATCGGTTGAAGCATTAAAATTTTGACAACTTTATATATATATATATATATATATATATATATGGGTTCATTCAAGTGATAACTGATTAGTTTGTGATAACTGTAAGATCTAATCTCAACCACAAATCAATGAATAAATTAGAAAACTATTATTTTTGGTAATGTGACTTAAAATTACAATTAAAGGACATTTTAAGTATTTTAAATTTTTTTATCTCTCATCTTTTTCTCCTACCTCCGGCCTCCGACGAACACCATGTGATACTCAAAATACACCAAGATACACAATATGATAACCAAAACACATCAAGTAAACTTTAAGACCACTGTGATACCAACTGTGGTACCACGGTTATAGGTGGATGTTTAGTGGTCGATCATCGGAGACTGCGTTTTGGTCAGACAAGATGACCGAAGGAGGTCACCGGAGTAGTGGTGGGTGCCGAAGAATGCCACCGGATTTGGTCCTTGTGTGTCCATGTGTGTGTATATATTATATTCAACTAATTAAAATAAATGAATAATCAACACAATTTACTAATTTATCATTTGTTTTACTTTAGTCGATAACATTAATTATCTAAAATGATTGAACCTCACAGTTACCACAAACTCTACTTCTCATTTGATTAGGCATATATATATATATATATATATATATATATATATATATATATGAAACCTCAACACAATTTACTAATTTATCATTTGTTTTACTTTAGTCGATAACATTAATTATCTAAAATGATTGAACCTCACAGTTACCACAAACTCTACTTCTCATTTGATTAGGCATATATATATATATATATATATATATATATATATATATATATTAATGAAACCTAACAAGGCCATGTTAATTGAAACCGCCCCCATTGAAGAAGACTAGAAAAAGTCGATTTCTCATTTTTGATTTAACATTCAAATCTATTTCGAATATTCAAAGTCAAAATTCAAAAGCATTTAAAAGAAACAGATTAGATAAGTGCGGGTCCATGTCTAAGATACCAATTTTGTTTTTATAATCAAAATCAATCTGGATATAATTTAAACAGATGTTTAATCATTTGAGAACTGTATATATTATGAATTGTGATAATTATGAGAACTATTATTATAAAATATGGGTTGGGTTCACTTGAGACCAGATTGTTTTCATGAGACCAGTAAGACCACTTTTTACACTTAAAACTTAATAACTAAATATTATGATGGTAAAAAAATGTGAACCTTCACACAAGTGGTCTTACGGGTCTCACGAAAACAATCTGGTGTCATGTGATCCCAAGTCTATAAAATATTGTTTCATATAATTTGTTCTATATAAGACTATAATCTAATACATTGATTAACATATATTTGTTTCATATATACTCGGTTCACGATGTGGAAAAAAAATGTTCCATTTTTTTTGTTTTACAAATACATCAAAATGTTTACATTGTGAAACAAATATATGTGAAACAAACACATTGCAAAAATAAATATATGTTAATAAATACACTAAATCCAAGTTACAAATGGAAAAGAGATCATGTGAAATAGCACATGATGAATCGATTTTTAAGGTTATCACAATTTTATGAGATCTCAAATAATGATCCCTGTTTGACTTTATGGTGAATATGAACCCATTTTTCTAATAGACCAATAAATCATAGATTTAATTAAAAATTCATTTAAAGTTATAACCTGAATGATCCTAAAATATATTTTTTTATTAACCTAGATATCCAACCCGTTATGCGAGCCGACTAATTCCAGGACGACCACATGTTTTGCAGATAGCCCGGAGTCACCCCATTTGAACATCTGTGGCCATAAGGGGATTTTTATTCCACCTTGAATTTGAACCTGGGACCTCCTGATACTTTTGATCTTTTGAGTCAAACTCAAACCAATCAGACACCACCCTTATGGTTGATCCTAAAATATTTGCATGTACTGTTTTTTAAACTTTATGTTGAAACTCATATATAATATGTTTTTATTTATTTGTGTTGAATTAGACCGTAATTATGTTCTTACATGATTTTTTTTTGAAGTATATAATATTTATTATACGACAAATGCAACAAATAAACTCACACACCCTCCTTATATTTTGTGAGGTTTAAACCTTTGACCTCTTAAAAAGCCACAGACTACGATACCGCTAGACCAAATGCCCCCTGATTTATTCTTCCATGATTTTCTAGATCTATTTTGGTAGATCTTGAGATGTATTTTTTATAATATTATTCTTATTTTTAATTTAATGTGATGATTGTAGTACATGTTCTTGATACGTAACGAAAACATGACAAATAGATCTGTAATTATTATTGAATTAATTAATTTGATAATAATTTAAATACCTTTTTCGTTTTAGAATAATTAAACGTGATATTTCGGGATTCGTGTTTTTCACGTTTGAGGAAAAGAATGCGAGTTGTATCACTGGGGTCATCACGTTTGATACTAAATATAGTTTTTCTAGTCAGATAAAACGCAGTGTTTTTTGGTAGAACTGAAGTATTGTCTATTGACCATTTAATGTGACTTGTCAGATATAACAGTTATTAGTTGTATCATATTGATTATTTGGTCTGCTATTAAATATATTTTTTTCTAATCAGAGAAAATGCAACTTTTTGCAAGTTTAAGGTCGAGATATTGTTCGTCAACCATTTAATATGATCTGCCTATTTATGTTGTATTATAAAACATTTGATAAAAGCTTTTGAAAACCATTTTTTATGCATGAAGTGCTGTTAATTGATGTATATTACTTAAAATTTAAGTTTATTAGTAAATTGTATATACGTATAATTTATTAAAGCTCCATGTTTGAATTCATGTAAATAACTGCAGATAAACATAATCAAATACTGAATAAACATCTCATTTTAAATCTAAAAAATCTAAAATATAATTAGGATAATCATTGAATTCTAATAGAATACTTCGTTATTGTCTTTATAAAAAATTATATTATTAAATCTAAATTAAATTAAATTATAATTAGAAATTTGAATTAAAAAAATTACATAAAAAACAAGAATTTTTAAAAGAGGTTAATTTGATATTGATACTGATATAGATATTTTTTTAAAAATTATCTGACATTTTCAAATTTATATTTTATTCAAAAATAAAAACACTACCGCGTTCTCAAAACCACATAAACCCGTATTATATCGACATAAAAAAAAGAAACACTAAAATCAAGATGTGTCTCGATGCATTGTATAAGTACCATTCTAATAGCTATAAATACTCATAGAACTTTCAATACGTTGATCAGTCTTGTAGATCTGTTCTAGCTTTAATCAAATCAGATACAAATTACCAGTTTTTGAAACATAACATATATCGTCGAAGGAAAAATCAAACCTTCGAGAGAAATAGCAAAATCAGAATCGATCTTGAATTTTTCGTCTTATATATTTATATATTAATTAAGTAAAAATTATGACTTTTTGTAAACATAGATTAAATATTTTAGTGAATTATGGATGTAGTCCTTAAGGTTTGAGGGTTGTCACAAAACTGGTCCCTAAACTTCAATTATTACATACTAAGACATAGTACTTTTTATTGGATTAGATCCGTCATCTTAACGACTAATCTACTATGTTAAGGTTAAGGGTATTTTCGTCTTTTTGCTTATTTATTCCATTATAATGTTTTTATAATTTGTTTTTATTTGCTTAAATGAAAGATTGAAGAACATCAAACCCTCAGCATCATATTCTTCAAAAACCTACCATCCACCAAGATAGCCGGGATCGATTTCCTACTTCCAGCTGAATGAGGGCGGTAGCCCATAGCCACATTTAAAGTAGCAGCGGGCACCCGACTTTCTGCTTTAACCCGCTTGATGTTCCATTCAACTACATGTGTTCTTGTAATGCCGATCGGAGCATCACCACAATCACCACCAAAATATGTTTTCGATAAAACCATTCAGATTTGTTTCTCACTATCAGCACCAAGATTTGTTTCAGATGAACCCACCATCACCTCCTACATCTATTCTCGCTCTGATGAATCCACAATGCATGAGAACATCTCCGACTAAGTTGCATAACGGCGAGAACATCTCCATTCACGTGTACGTCTCCACTTCATTTTGTTGGTTTTTTTGTGGGAAAAACAGTATGCATCTGAATTATGAAACGATTTTCGATGAATATTGCTGAGAGTTATTATTATTTTTGAATAAATATTGAACGGATAAGGAGAGTTATCCCGGGTTTCATTTAGATTTTTGATTAAATATTAATTTAGGTTTTTAATTTAGATTTTATTTATGGTTTTTTGTTTTAATTTAAAGGTTTGCTTCTTGTTATGTTCTTGGTGGAGAAAACAATATATAGTGAAAAACAAATTAAAAAATTATATATATATATATATATATATATATATATATGGGTGTGTAGAAAATCAACTGATCAAATTGGAACCGACCGACCATAATTGGATCGGATCGGATCGGATTGAAATTTTCAATATCTAATTTGGATAGATCGGTTCTCGGATTGCAGTACCGAACCGAACCGATCAACGTTGAATTAATCATCCGATGACCATCCAGTTGTCTATCCAACCATTATCCAATTAATTTATTTTCAAATTGCTTAAATCGGAATTTGTTTTATGCGAGGCTTTGAATTTTTAACTTATGTTGTGTTGTTTTTAACACATATTAAAAGTGATTAATTAATTCATATCATTATTAGAAAATTGAATTGAATTAACACTCTTGATGGATCCAATCCCATCGGATCATTCATTTGATATCCGATAAAAGTATCCAATAGATGGAACCGAATTGATCCAATCCAATAATCCATTGGATTGGATTTGATGGGTTATCCAATGTTAATCGGATCAGATCGGTTGGCAAAATCCAACATCCAATGATGATTGGACCGGTTCGGTTCCTCTCACATCCAATAGATGTCAATCGATGAACATGCCTAATTATATAGACGTAAATGACAAAAAGACTGAAACGATGTCATATTTAACAGAGGTAATAGATTGTCATTAGATCGAAAGAGCAAATCTAACATAAATTGCAAACCACAAGTCTTGGTGTTTAATAAAATGAAGTTTAAGGATTAATTTTATAACAACCCCCAAACTATAGGGACCAAATCTAAAATTTTCTCTAAACAGTTTTGTTACAATTAATAGTGTGCTTTAAAGAAGGTTGCCCATGCTTGAAAATAAAATAAAATAAAAAGCTTGATTTGATCTTATTATTAAAACTAGGGTATTTAAGATTGCTTATAAAAACAATTTATTGATTTATTTCGGTGTGACATTGCTAATAAGCAATTTTGAATGAATAAACAGCTTATACCGGTGTCAAACCGGTAATAAGAGTTTTTGAATAAGTTAAACCATTATAACTTATAATAAGTTGATAATGACTTTTGTAGAAAAACATAAGTTGTTTCATATAAACAATTCCAAACACCTCTTTACTTTTTACATTAAAAATATATGATTTGATCTGATTATGATATAAAAAATGGGTGCATATAGCATCACCCCAACAAAATTGCATATTTGACCATGACAATACTTAATGTGACATGAGACACAAGTCTTAAGCCACGACATGTCTTTTAGAACCTTGCATTTATCCCTCAAAGATTAATCTGCAACAACTCCTCGTACATTTTTTATCTGATTATTTTGATCTTAAAATTTCAAAAAACCAGAATTGTAATTAAATTTGTCAAACACAATAAAACTAACCAATACGACTGTATATCCAAAAACGCCTTATGGGTTGTTTGGCTGTTTTTCATTAAGTCACATATGGATAAAACTATTTGTGTTGATTAATCTGTTTGTATAGATTAAGAATATTTTTGTTTAGGATAGTTTTTCTTAGATGGTAGAAGCGTGTTTTCTAATTGAGATCTGTAAGTTCAGGAAAAACTTGGTTATCTGCGTAAAGCTCATCCTTAAAGGATTACTAAATAAATCACTCTCTATATTATTAAGCTACCACCAAGTATAACCGACCGAATAAGCTGTGAGTCTTGTTAAACTCATCAAACTGCAGATAAACAGACGCCTAGACACCTAACTCCTACGACTGTCTCAATAAAAACAAGTTAATTACGTAATCAGTGTCGAGATTTTTCTACGATATCATTTAAAATATAAAATAAATAATTATATGACATTTGAGGGCCATAGGAGTTTATTTATATAAATAAGTCGTTTATTAGAGTGATTATTAAATTATAATTACATATTAAAATAATGAAATTACCTGCTCCAACATATTATAATATTAATTAGAAAATTAATTGTCATTTCGTTGTAACAACTTCAATGTGTTTTGGATGCTTTATATATTGATTTAATATTAATGCTTTATAAAATTAATTTATATTTACATTTTTTTATCAATTATTACAAAGGGGTGGGATGATTTTGTCCGAATACAAGAAGTCCTGTGTTTGATCTCAGAACGTCCTGCTAGCCTCAACCACTAAATAAGCCAAAAAATGACTCATCACATTGGTGTCTTTGGTGACAGGTTTCGTATAAGGTCAATTTGGGTTGCTGATAATATGTTTTTTCTTTGTCTAGATATGATGTGAGTCTAAGCGTGGAGGATCATACCCTATTGTTCTTGGAGGTTCATGATCGGGATACCAAAAGGGGTCGCGCTTAAAAGGTCATAACTCTCGCTCCGGGTCTCTGTTTCAGGCCCACGACCAGTCGATTCGAAGTCCTGGTTAGATCCCAAAGAGGCCTAACCAACTTTTGAAGGCTGAAAAGGCTGTTTAAGCATGGTTTTTGGACATTTTCGTGTTTTTTTTACCATTTTTTGGCATATTTGTTGGGCTTTTTATGTTTGACCCGTAATCTTTTTTAGGCTCGTTTTCTTTTAGGCTTCCTATTTATATTCATCTTGTGAAAATCTGGATGGTCACACTTGCATTTAAGAAATTTTGATCTTATCCCGAATTTGGAGTTCTTGTGAATTCATGTTTGAAGCCTAGGTTTGGTATTCGTCGAATCAACGAATCCTAAAAAAGATTAACCACGGGTACTTTTAGAATCAACGAGGTAATCTGTGTTTTCAATGTTATACGCTTCATCAAGATATGGAGTAAAAACTTTTATGTCCTTTTACGACCGTTTATCGACCATTTCATTACACGAGATAAAACGACATATATGAACAATTTTTTTCCCACAACCGGTTATCTACCGACCGTCGACTAGCGTAATGGTCATTGCAGTCGTTGAAGTTGGTGCATGAATACTTGACGACATGTCATCTTTAGGGATGTGTTCGGTATAGAAGAAACCGGGTTGTTTTGGTTGTGGTAGTTCGCCTTCGCTACTAAGCATCACGACCACTGAAGACATGCTCGGCCTGTCTTCAGGGCTACGTTGAACGCATAACAAAGCCAACTCGATTGATCTTAGCACTTCGTATAGATGGCACGAGTCGCTTAAATTCGTGTCGATTAGCTCCATCGACCTGCCTTCATGATATAGTATCCAGGCCTATAAAAAGGTTCAAGAAACATAAGATTTGATAAATCCATATAGCAAGCAAACTTATAGAATTTTTTTTCACTCCATTTATCGTACACTTTGTTTGAAATTGAGTGTCCGCTTTCAAAAGCAAGTGTCTACTTTCCAATTATACCCTTAATTATGAGATGGAGTATTCCATTACACCCTCTATTATTAAGGGTAAAATTGTCATTTGGTTGGTTAAAGAGTGTAATAGTTATTTCTAAAATTGTTCCTCCTTTTCATTTTGAACATTTATTTTGAGATGAAACTAGTAATCTTTTGCAGGAAAAGCATGTGAACCACTATGTGTTCATTTTCCAAGTAATTGTCGGAGTCCCACATGGCCACATCAACTACACACTGACCATCAAAATTCTTTGTGTGTGTATATGTACAAATATAGAGGGAGGTTAAGGAGAAATAAAAAAAAATGAAAAACTAAGAAACAATTAGGTAACTTTTCATCTGGATCGTATGTATATGTGCATATAAATAATTGAAGTTATTTCTTGGTTTTTATGTATGTGTGTATACCGGACAAATTGCTTATAAATTACTTGTATGCACATGTGTTCCTCAGTTTTTCATTTTTTTTGCGGTTTTCCCCTGAATCTGACCCTAAAATTCTACACACACACACACACACACACACATATATATATATATAGAGAGAGAGAGAGAGAGAGACGTGAGATCAGTTTGTTTTCATGAGATCCGTGAGACCACTTTCTTACACTTGAAACTTCACAGCAAAATGCTGTGAAGGTAACCTTCACAGTGTTTCTGCTATGAAGGTTTGGCTTTTTTTCCCACCGCTTTTTGCTATGAAGTTTCAAGTGTAAAAAAGTGGTCTCACGTGAACCCAATAGGTTTCGGTGAGAAGGAGAGTTAAGGATGAGAAGCGTAAGAAGATATTTCTACTCTTGGATGCACATTATGATGAGATGCACCGAATCAATCCTCATATTAAAAGTGATCAAGGATCCAGGTTCCTTCTTACCCTTCTCACCTTAATCTCCTTATCACACGATCCTTTGCATATATATATATATATGAACCACCCTATTTCTATAGATGTTCTTTTGATTGAAAGTGGTTCCACATAACCTAACAAAGTAGGGCCTAGCACCACCTAGAGACTCGACATACTCTTTCACCTTCGTTCTTGGGGCCACCCTCCAGCCTCCATTTGAGGGTACATATTGGAGTCTCACATCAATTAAAGACATGCCATCAAACCTATATATACATAGGAACCCCCATATCTCTATAACAGCTCTTTTGAACAGAGGTTCAACGGGTTTCACGTATTTTAATAATAATCACACCCTCTCTTTTCAGAAAAAGGGAAAACCCGGGACTCCAATGCCTGCGGTAGATTTATTTAACTGAAAACATAAATCGGTTTATTCGGTTTGGGGGTCAAGGAGATTAAAATTCAACTGAAACTGAATGAAGGTAATAACAAGGTGCAAGTCATGAGACACTTACATGTCCAAGAAGGTTATGATGGTGGTCATGGTGAATGAACCCTCGGTTTTTCTTCCCGGTCACAATCTCCAACACCAAAACACCGAAGCTAAATACATCTGATTTTACCGAGAAAAGACCATCCACTGCATATTCCGGGGACATGTAACCGCTGCAAAACGAAAATAAATCTAATAAATAAAAAAATAGAAGAATGTATAATAATAATTGTTAATTGTGCATTTGGAATCCAGACAGACATGGTAGGACAAAACTCAACAAGATAGATGAAACTCTGGACAACACTGGCGATTGGACAGATAAAATGACCAATTTACTTCTAATGAGTTGTTTATATGTTTTATATATTTTGATTAATTTATGTAATTTATTAAGTACAATAAATAAAATATTTTTACAACAAAATATATCATTACAAAGTTTTTGTCAAGATGATTAAAACGAAACCAAAATAAAAAGTTTATGCAGTTTCCAAATTTTATTTTAGACCTTTTCTATATTAATTTTTATTACTAATATTTAATAAATTATATAAATTAACCAAAATATATAGACCGTATAAAAATAATATTTTGAGAACTGTAAAGTGAAAGTTTTAAAGAGCATAAGATACGAAAGATAAAATTTAAATAATGAATAAATGTAAAGGAGGAGGCGTATTTGATGTTTTAGAAGTGAATTATGTTTTATTTTGAGGTTATATTAATAAAACATGAGTTTGTTCCAGCTTGTTATCTGGGGTGGGGGTGGAACACGGCTATTCCACTATGTTCTTGTCTGTTCCACATAGAAGTCCTACCAAACATGGAACAGTGATCCTTGTTCTATTCTGTCATGTCCAGTGTACCAAACGCATCCTAATTGAACCGGAAAGAAAATAGGATAGAGATACATACTAAGTTCCGACCACTTTCATTGTATTTGCTTGAGTTTCGTTTCCCGCAAAGCTTCTTGCCATGCCAAAATCCGATATTTTTGGATTCATGTCGAAATCCAACAAAATATTGCTTGCTTTAAGATCTCTATGGATAATCCTCAATCTTGAATCTTCGTGAAGATACTGCAGCCCTCGGGCAATTCCATTGATGATGTTGAAGCGCTCGGGCCAATCAAGTAATTTTTTCCGACTTTCATCTGCCCAAAAACAATGAGAGGTTTAAATGCATCAAAATTTAATGAATTAAAACCAAACCGAACCGAACCGAACCGAACCCAGTAAATCCCAATTGAAAATAGGGTCTACAGGGGGTGAGATGTACGCAGGGGCGGACCTAAAGGCACGAGCGGGGCCCCATGTACCTGTTCAACTAATTTTCGCAAGTACAAATTTTTTCCGGGTATGAAAGGTGCATCTGCTAAACTTTGAGGGGTGCATCAACCATAAAAGTCTCTCGAAATCAACCAAAAAAACTAAGGGAAGTCCACTGAGATCAACCAAAAAACTTAAAAAGAGTCCCTCGAAAAGGTGGAATTCGGCTAAAAACACATCAGGCAACTTTGTGGGCCTTTGATCCACCTTAAAGGTGTATTTGCTAGGCAAAAATATTGGGTCCGCCGTTTGATGTACATTTACGCGACCTCTACTCCAAAAGAGTAGAGCGACTATTTCCATTAAGACCATCGGCTTGTGCAAAAGTGTGAGCAAACAATTAGAAAATATAAATATGAGCATGAGGTTATCGAAGCACGGGAAAAATAAGAAAGAAAAAGTAGCTCGAATTTAATGACTTAATATAAACTAAAAGTTCAAGCGGTATACTGAAGGAGAAAGTCACAAACCGAATATGAAGTAATCCAGGCTTTTATTAGGCATGTATTCATAGATTAACATCTTTTCGTTTCCTTGAATGCAGCATCCAAGAAGCCTCACGAGATTTCTATGTTGAAGCTTAGATATGCAAATAACTTCGTTTTTGAATTCATCAAGTCCTTGATTGGACGTTTCTGAGAGCCGCTTTACCGCTACTTCTTTTCCATCTTGAAGAACACCCTGAGTCATATATATACTTTCTTGTTATAACGCCTTCAGTATAATACAAAAAAGGACCGAAGTGCTTTTTGGTGTGTAAGTATGTGTTTGTGGGGCGGGTTCAAACAAGAGCCGTAAAGGTGCGTTTGGTATCCAGATAGGACAGGACAGTTGTTCAACGTTTGGTAAGACATAACTCGACTGTTCAGATAAATGACTAATTTACCCCTAACGAATTGTTTATATCTTTTATATATTTTGATTAATTTATGTAATTTATTGAATTATAATAAAATAAATATTTTTATAACAAAATATATCATTAGAAAGTTTTCATTAAGAGTTTAAAACTATTAAAATGACACCAAAATAAAAAGTTTATGTAATTCAAAATTTTATTTTATACATTTTCTATATTATTTTGTTATTATTAATATTTAATAAATTACATCAATTAACCAAAATATAGAAACCGTATGAAAACAATATTTTGAGGACAGGAAAGTGAAAGTGAAAGTTTAAGAGCATAAAATACAATAAATAAATTTTAAAAAATGAATATAATGCAAAAAGGAAGGCGAAATTGATGTTTTAGAAGAGAATTGCGTTTTATTTTGAGTTTATATTGGTAAAATATAGGTCTATTCCACTATGTTTCATGGGGTGAAGGTGGAACACGCCTGTTCCACTATGTTCCACATAAAAGTCCTACCAAACATGAAAGAATGATCCATGTTCTGTTCTATCATGTCCAGTGTACCAAATGCACTCTAAATATTTTGGATACCTGATAATTAACTATTCATGATAAATGTTGTGGTAGATATTCAAGATGAAAATTAATCATAATGAAAATACATGATATCATGAATTATGGAAATGCATGATATTCATGATTATTTTGGGTAATTAATTGTGAATAATACATGAAATAGTTGGTTCTCATGTTCTCTCAAAATATTTATAGTTCTCATTTGAACTTTTCTTCGTGCTCGTAACTATTAAATTCCACAAACTCGTATGATTGTTGCATTAATAGCTAAGATCTAACCTTGTAAACTGGCCCATAGCCGCCTTCTCCGAGCTTATTGTTAAACGAAAAGTTATGCGTAGCCTTAGCTATTTCAGATAAATTGAATAATGGCAGCTCGAGATCTTCCTTCCGGCTTTCATTGGTGTAAAGTTGGTCAGTGTCGTTTCCCACCTGTTCATCTATAATGGTAAATGGTGAGGGATTGAAAACGATTTCTTCACAACGATCTTTTCTTGTTCTTTTGAACTTTCAGATAAATGCATACAGACAAGGTTGCATCGTGTACCTTCTCCCTTCGGCACTGAATTCTTCTTCCATTTTCTCCAAAGAACGAATATCAGGCCCAGGGTTATCGACATCCCAACAACTACTCCAATGATCAACGGAATCATTTTACGTTTCTTCTTATGAGAACCTGAAACACCTTTCGATAGATCAAAAGAGTCAGCCCTAACATGATACAACATGTTCGCTATGATGAGTTGAAAATAAAACCAGAAAAATCCACACAAAGATGGGTAGAAAAGAATAAACAAAGAATCATCTACACTTGTACGAAAGAAAAAAGTTCTAAAAATGGGTTAACCAAAAAGACAAATATACAAAAAAAAAAAATAGGGTCTGCTTATTAGCAGCTTAATGGGACTCACTGAGACTCACAGCTTATTCGGTCAGTTATACATGACTATTTGGTAGTGGCTTAATGATATAGAAAATGACTTGTTCGGTAACCTTCTAGGGGAAAGCTTTATGCAGAAAGCCAAAATTTTTCCCGACCATGTCCGTCCAAATTAAAAAACACACTCCTTCCATCTATGAAAAATCCCTCACAAAGAAAATCATCCCCATATATAGACAAATTAATCCACACAGACAACTTTATCAACTTTATCCATACAAGACTTAATGGAAAACCAACCAAACAGCCCCTTAGTCACTTAGAGAAACAAATATAGCTTTTTTAACCAACTAAATGCATTTTTGGCTGGAAATTTTCTAAGAGAAATTTAAAACAAACACTCATCAAATTGGTAAAACGTCATCCTAATTTGTCAAATGGCTGATAGTACGCTTGTAAAACCAAACCAAACAAACCCAATATCTCCCATATGGCAGTGGGGTCTAAGGAGGGTAAGATGTATGCAGTCCTGACCTCTACCCAAAGAGTACAATGGCTATTCCCGTGAAGACCCCGGTTTGTGAAATGAAACAAAGAGAGAAATTCAGAAAAATGATAAAGATTTGAAAAGCTGGTTAAAGAGAAAATAAAACATACAAATAGAGGCGGGTACAAGAAATGATGGCACGTTTTTATGTTTGGAATCGACCCTATAAAAACATATAAGAAAACTGATAACCCACAATTGTAGTAAATATATATATATATATATATAGAGAGAGAGAGAGAGAGACGAAGTATCATGTGAGAAGGAGAGTTAAAGTGAGAAGCGTAAGAAGAGATCTGGACCCTTGATTAACTTTAATCTCAAACCCACCCATAAATTGCGCTTGATACGAGGATTGATCTGGTGCAGCTCGGTGCATCTCATCCTAATGTGCATCCAAGGGTGGAGATCCCTTCTTACACTTCTCACCTTAACTCTCCTTCTCACCTAAACCCAACCCTATATATATTCTTAGTACCTAAATCCGAGAAGGCTAGCCTGACGTAGATCTCTGAAGTAAAAGAAGGAGCTTCTTGAATGTCAACCAGATCACCCGTCCAAAGCAAACAGCCGTTTCCGCCTTTTTTCAATATATTTGCATAAGCCATACAAGAGCAGTTTTTCAAACATAACTTCTGGCATTGCACAAGAGTCAAGTTTCCGTAAAACAATGAATACCGCGGATCCGGCAATTTAACATTCGTGTGCTTCATAAATCCATCCGTCTTGCAATCCAACGGTTTGCTCCTCACACAACCCTTCGACCAATTTGCGCCATTCCACTCATTTTGGTACTTCGGCACAAACTTATCCAAACACCCACATTTCGGAAAGCTGTTGGTGTTACAGCTACCATAAGCACCACATACTAGATCACAACCATCGGGCGTAGGCACGGAAAAGTAAACGATCCAATCGTTTACTTGGTCTGCCCAGACCCACCGCTGTGCAACTCCGGATTGGTTCATCGTCAACCTTGATATCATAGAGGAGTTTATCAATTTGTACTTATAAAACACCTCTTTCTCATTGAAAACCATATCAAATGTATAAATTGCATTTTGTGGTAGGACCGAAATCCCACCGAAATCAATACCGTTCCATGGTTCACTTCGATATTGCACAATCTGCCCTTTTTTAATAACTTGATGTGGGTATCCATGAAGATCACATCCGAATGTGAAATCTCCTGAAGATGGATCATCGGCACTTTTCCATGAAGTGATATAATTCTCTTTTCCAGACAACAAGTCTTTCCCAATCTTCATGCCGGGTAGAAGTGTATCACCAGGATAGTCGAAACTTTGCCAGAGGAAATTATCTGGCTTTCCGTCACTTTTATCTCTCACAACAAGATTCCCGGAATCTAAAAGTTGTGCTATCGGGTTTTGTGTAGTTCTTGAAGTATTAGAAGACCATACAATCGTGTTCTTGCCGTTCACAATGGTAAGAACCCCTGAATTTATCATCTTTAACATGCCTGATTTGTCGGTAACTGGGGCTTCCCTATTGGCGACCCAAGCCACAGTTCTTGTGGGTATATTCTTGTACCATATACCAATATACCTGTTCTTTGAGTTCCTGGGGCTGAAGAACCCCATTTCGAAGAACCCACCAGATGAAATTATCGTGTCCCCATCCTTCAACGGGACTGTTGAGACGACTGTGTCACTCCAACTGGACACAATTGGGATCGAAAGTAAAAGGTATATGATAGATAAGAAGAATCTTTTTCTATCTAGTAATTCAGCCATGCTTCCCATCTTTAAGAACTACAAACGCGGTTGGAATGAATCAAGTCAGCCCTTCCTGTTTCGTGGTCCCGAAAACTTTTTGCATAGGAAGCTGCATTTCAAATAAAAGAAGCTAGTCAGGCACACAAGTACATATCACACTTAGGGCCTGTTTTTTTAGCAGCTTGATGAACTTAATGGGACATACAACGTATTCGGTCAGCTATATGTGACTGTTTGGTAGTGGCTTAATGATATAGAAAGTGACTTATTTAGTAAGCTTCTAGGGGGGAGCTTTATGCAGAAAGCCAAGTTTTCTCCAATAGTGTCTCTTCTGATTAAAAAGCACATTCCTTCCATCCATGAAAAAACCCTCCGAAACAAAAACCTTCCCAATCTCCACAGACAGCTTTATCCATACATCACTTAATGAAAGCCAAGTACATATCACATTTAGGGGCTGTTTGGTTGGTTTTCCATTAAGTCTTGTATGGATACAACTGTCTGTGTGGATTAATCTGTTTGATAGATTAGGAAGGTTTTTGTTTGGGATGGTTTTTTCATAAATGGAATGAGCATGCTTGTTAATTGGGAAGGGCAAGTTTGCAAAAAACTTGGCTTTCTGCATAAAGCTCCCAAGCTTACTGAATAAGCCACTTTCTATATCATTACGTCACTGCCAAACAGTCATGTATAGCTGACCGAAATAAACTGTGAGCCCCTTTAAGATCATTAAGCTCATGAAGCTGCTAACAATCATGCCCTTAACCTAATCACTTTGCTTCAAAGTATTCCTTTCTTGTTGTATTCCAAATCAATGAGCAAAACAAGCTTTGCAACAAGTGCTTGATTCATGAAATGATGGTTGATGTAAATCAACATTGAGACTCTACTTATAATGAGTTGTAGCTATTTAGAAATAGAAAAGATAAACCTACTTGATATCTAAGTTTGCAGGGGGCTCTTAAACTTGGGAGCACAAAGACTATCAAGAAAAACAACAAACAAAATGTTACAATTTTCTTGTACCTGCCTAGATGAGACACCAACATCAACTGCACAAAACATGATTCCTGCTTCAATATCTTCATTGCTGAAACTAATCATATAAAAAAACAGTTATTTTACTTGAGTAAAAGCTTCACAAAATTCCAGTAATAAAACCAGTTACCATGTTATGTTGAACCAACATCTTTAGATAAGCATGAGGCTGGTCAAAGGAAAATACCAGAACCATTAAAACAAATAGATATAAGGAAACAAGTGTTTAGTAGTAATGAGGTGTGAAACTTGTATGCAGAAAGTACATATCATGAGAAGCTTCAATCAAACAGTTTGTTTCTAGACTTTTCGAAAACTTATGTTCCTCCAGCCCCCCGAAAATTGCAAACAGATATCTTGATAGATGTAATTTATTATTAAAAGATGTGAGAAATCTTTATCAGAATTTGTTGGTTTCTGGGTCATGGACCGGATCCAGGTCCCCAAATCCTAAAGCCATTAACAAGGGGTCAAGCAACTGCCTGTATGGCAGATTATGACTGTTTATTTCTGTTGGATTACTGTCAATGACAGTTTTCTTCGTCCAAAAACTTTCAATATTAATGTGTCTCCCTGCACATTTTGAAAGAGAAGAAAATCTGCATGCTTTTGTGTGGAAAGGGTTATGCATATATGCACAAAGATTAGAGTGCAAAAACTTGAACATTGCGTATACATGTTTCTAAGTGGGACAAAACCGACAATACTAGATTTCAAATTTGTGTGGATTTAGGCAATTGTTAGGGGCTTCTCCTATTAATGATAAGCATGCGCAGCTTCTGCATTTTGCTTTTTGCCAGGAATTCAAGCAAGTCATTATCTTTACTCTATTTGCATTTGGCAAAAACTCTTAAGAGACAACTTATCAAGCAGCAGGTACTGTCCTTTTAAGGCAAATAGCTTAATATTCAAGGTTGTGCAACTCATTAAAACTCTTTAGAAAATCTAAGTCATCTTAATATAATTAACTTTTTAATCAAACAAAATTTATGTAAAAAAAGAAGTAGTTTATTCTTTTTAATTTGATACCAATATTGATATTTCTTTTAACCCGGTTTTCGATCAAGAGTATATTCACATACAATTATATTTCATACTAAAATCTATACTATATTATAAAACATTTAAAACTAAATATTGCATATGTACAACTTCTTAAAACTCCACGTTTTGAACACCATACCACTAACTCAAAACAAACTAATACACACGTTCAAATAAAGGATAAGTGTTGAGCTCTGCTAATACAGCTAAATACTGCATAAAATTGATAACCAACCGAAGACTCTATTGCTCTCTCAAAACCACACAAACCATAAAATAAATTCAAGAGGGATATAGAATTGAACAAAAACATGAATCAGAATTGAGGGTTCGATTTATCGGCTTCATAAATAGGGATGTAGCTCGCTAAATTGGGCGATTACACTTTAGGGTTCATGTATACATAATTATGAATTCCTTCATGTTGAGAATAATATAGTGTCCCTTATGTTTGTATACGTGAATTTCTTTGAGTTGTCTTTCTTTGTTTGATTGTTACAAATCTTGTTGCATCAATACAAGAAAATAGATTTAACTTCACAATCAAAACTTCAGAGTCTCAGATGAAAATTGTTGCGTTTGTTACATAAAGAAGCATGAATTATGACTGTCATTAGGACAAAATTACAATCATATGAAACTATAAAAGAAGTTCAATAACTCTATCATTCAAGAGTTATGAAGCTAAAATATCAATGTCAATTTTGATTTAGAAAATATTAGGTTTTAATTTTCAATTTCCATGATGAAGTATGGCGTCTCTCGATTCAAGCTACTTTACAATTTCAATATAACACCAGATAGTAGTATCAACTTTGAAAGTTTAAACACCATAGTCAGTTAAGCATACCCAAGAATATGAGTGAGAATTTGCGATCGAGATAAGATATCGAGACAATCAGTCTTGGTGCGATGCTTCCTCAATGGAATTGGGAATTCCATCTTCCTAAACTTTGATCTGAAATTGGGATTCCCGTTCATCATGTTCCACGCGAAGCCCTTGGATCAATGGTTTAAAACTGTATGAAAGAGATCAGAAGTTATCCGATTTTATAGGGAATCTACAGATTTGGGATCTCGCAGCCAATTGCATCAATGATCTTGTGCATGACATTGAAGTCTGAGCATTTTATTTCGAGATAACTTACTTTAACCGCTCAAAACTTTTATTTTAATACCTAAAAATGTAAACTTATTTATTGACATAAATTTTTTTTAATATGGGTTCTTAAATGTTTAAAATTTTACATCTTAGATATTAAAAATGGAAGTTTTAAAAGTATGTTACCTAAAATATGAATCAAGTTAAAGTATGTTATTTTTTAATGCAATTTAGCTTTTTATTTCCTATTGTTAATTGCATATTTAAATACATAATTAAGTATAAATATATTTTTATGATTAAAATATCAGATCATAAAATTAAAAATAAATATATAAAAACATAGAAGGATCGGGTCTCCGATAAGAATAAAAGCTAGATTGAGGATGGTAAAAACGGATGATCACTTTTGAATCAAATACTGATTGAAGATCAACAGTAATGAGATGTACCAGATAAATTCTTATAGTAAGTGTAATTCATAGGATGGAGGTAAGATTAAAAGTGATCAATGGTCCAAATCATTTCTTACGTTTCTTACTTTAACTTCTACTAGTTTTCTAACCGCGCGTTGCACGGTAATGATAATATCATCTTCAAAAAGAATGTTATAGACTAAATTTGAAGTACTCTTCTAAAATTTTATAGACAAATGTGAGTACATTAAAAGTTTTTAAAAGGATTTGACAACAATCTTAGAAACATATGCTAATTTAAGTTATCTAACTATGCTTGAGAATCGTGTTGCAAAGTACTCTACAAAATGTTTGACTAATGTTAGTAGTTTGTCTAATTAGAAGTCACAGTTTTAATTGAAATCTTATCTAAGGTGACAAAATCACGATTTTAATTTTACAACAAATTTAATTGAAATCTCATTTTTGAAGTTACGAAGAAGAAACGTTCTATAATATTTCTAGTGAAAATTAGAGGAGTGCGTAAGTTGTAGCAACAATAGTGGAAGTCCAATACGATGCATGAAGAACCACATCATCAAGCTAAAATAATGGATTTTTCCTCATAAAAAATAAAATTAATATCAAGTGGGGTCGATGACCCACATATCAGATATTAAACTGACAAAAATATTACACTTTATCATAACATTCTATAATATTTGAATTGTAATTAAAGGGKTGTGTCAAATCTTGATAATATTAACATCAAGAAGACAGATAAATAACTACCTCATGTTGTCAAATTATCATCATTGGTTTCACTTTTATATTTGCACTATAATTTTTACCATTTAGTTGGTTTTATATTTGCAAACATGATATAGATTTCAAATATAATCATCCACCTTTCTTATACACTTTAATTTGTTCAAATTTTTTAACTTTTCATCAATATGGGACAACTAAAACTCAACAATAATAGATCATTTGGTTTGATTGGTTTCCAACCATGGTTATATATATATATATATATATATATATATATAAGATATAATAATATAATATAATTAATTTTGCACTATAATTTATACCATTTGGTTTGATTGGTTTCCAACTATGGTTATAGATTTCCAAAAGGTCATCCAAAGAAAGACAACCCTAAGAGGCAAAACTCATATTTGACACAAAGACATCCAATCCACCTTTCTTATACATTTCATTTTGTTCAAAAATTTCAACTCTTTACCAATGTGGGATACCTCAAACTTAACCATAATTCACCAACACCTCAATACTCAATTCTCATGATGTCACCTCAATACTTTTGGTTCTTCCTTTAATATATACATATATATAGTATATATATATATATATATATATATATATATAAAGATATAATACTATAATATAATTAATTTTGCACTATAATTTCTACCATTTGGTTTGATTGGTTTCCAACCATGGTTATAGATTTCAAAATGGTCATCCAAAGAAAG